AATATGCCTTCTGTTGTTCAATCAGAATGTTACCAAACTACAAGTATACTTTTGTGTAAAATGTTGAACATCCATTCTCAAGAGCATTATTTAGTCATGCCAATATTGGTTGTGCTGCTGTGATTGTTGCATTACATCGACGAAGTCTAGAAGGGATACATCTGCAGCTCCTAGCCATGCACACATTTGTATCACATTATTTTTTAACAAGATAATAAATACTATTTTTACTTTACTGTGTGTGGTAAATTTAGTCCCCAATCACACCAAAATGCACTTTTTTTGCAGTCAGAGGTGCCTTTTTTTTTTAAATGTTTTTTTATTTGTAGAGAGTCTTTTGTGTGCTTTTTATGTGCCCTGAGCACCTTGGGTTGTAACCATCAGCTGCACCTCAAGTTTATAATGGAGCAATCCCACATGGAAAGAACCTATATATGTTGTAATATAGGTTTTAATATAGGTTTTCAATATATTTGACATAAATTAAAAACCTTCATTAAAACATATATGTTTATATAGGTTCTTTTCTTGTCTGCTTTCACTTATTTGCCATAGGTAAAACCCATAACATGCCAAATACATGTGATTCCAATTTCAAGTGTTCGCACATAGATACGTTTTATTCTTTTTTTTTTCTTAGTATTTGCCTTGAGAATAGAAAAAAATGAGCTAGGCATCATGTATGACAGTTGCCAAAATGAGATATGAGTTATATAGGAGACATATCTTGTATGCACATATAGGGCCGCGCAAGCCCGATGAAGTTAGTGTTTACAAGTGTGGAGTCCTGTGAAGGTCCAGATGGAGACTGTTGTTTTTGTTTACCTTGTGAACCTCAGAATGAGCGAAGAAACTCGACACAGAGGAACATAAAAACCTCACTGCCAGCTGGCATTTCGAAAGTGTTATTGCAGAGCGACACAAAAAAAATAGGCAGAAGTATAAATGCATGTGCCATGGGTTACGTTGATCACTCAACGCAGATGTTTAAACCAGGCTTTATTAGAACAGAAAGTAATGGTTTATTTAAAAAAAATAAAAGACAAAATTAACTTCTCGACACAGCTGTATCTCTTCTAGACTTTATCTTTTTTCTTTACATAGTTTTTTAATTCCTTTTGTCTTTTAATAGTCTTTTAAAGTATTTTAAAAGACACGAAAGTATTCTAGTAGCTTCATAATTTTTACACTGAAACACTGAAGGAATGTAGTTTGTTTTGAGAATTTCTATTTTTTTTTTACTTTGAACTAACTGAGATTGTTGCTGTCTTTGGAGAATGAGAAAGTTCTCAGATTCCATCTCATTTCAAAATATCTTAACTTGACTTCCAAAGTCAAAAAAGGTTTCAAAGGTTTGGATCGACAGAGTGTGTAATTAACAACATAATTTGGGTGAACTAACCCTTTTAAGTAAACATCTATTTTTGATCACTCTTGTAATTTGCTTAAATCTTTCCTTACTTCATTAATCATTATTTTTAGGTTCAAGTGGTATTTGTAAGGAATTGGATGCAAGCAGGGTGTGTCTGTTTGTAAAGCATACAGTGCCATCTGCTGTAAAATTCCAAATTCAAGAGACAGTAGTGATTATTTTCCATCACAGCCCTACATATTAGATTTCATGATGTTCAATGTGCTCTACCTTTCTTATATCATTTGGCCATGCATTTTTCTAGACAAATACAAGCTCTGAATAAAAATTAGAATAAGTGATGTTTTTTTGCTTGTTGAAAACATTTTGAGCCTTAAAAACATTTTTTAAATATCAAAAACACATTCAAAAATCATCAGGACATTGAAACCAGTCAAGCTAAAATAATAGAATGGTAACTTTTTCCCAGCTTTCAGCACTATGCTGAAAATAAGTAACCATATTGTGATTATTACAGGATGTTAGAACAGGGATAGTCAAGTTTGTCCTCGAAAACCGAAATCCTGCAGAGTTTCTCTCCAGCTCAAAGCTAACACATCTGAACAAGCTAATCAAGATATAAGTGCTACTAAAATGCTACAGGCAGGTGAACTTATCAAGGCTGGTTAATAAACTCTGTAGAACTGCAGCACCCCAAGACTGATCCTGCCTTTCTCTGTGTTCAGTATTTCCAGTTTTGAATAGCCTCTATAAAACTTTCTTCAGATTGCAGTGTTTATAAGAATAAGAGCTCACAGTCTGTCATAAAGTCTGGGCTGAATTCAGGCTTCCACAAGGTCATGTGTATCAACCTCATTTGTGCTTTTCCTCCCCCTTTTGCTTGCAATCATGTCACTCCATTCACAACCAATCATCCGTCCACACCTCATCACTCATCCTCGCCTCACCTCTACCACCTTCCCTTCCTCTCCATATGACATGGCTCTGTCTTGCTCCCTCCATCCCGGTTCATCTTGTGATTGACAGTGGCGATGACTCCGCTGGATCTCCCTTGGCGTAAGTAGCCACAGTCTTTTTTCGATCCATCACAGCTGCACTGACTCATCCCATGTGTTAAATTCTCGTTTAGAGGCTGGTTGCTCATGATGTTTTTGGGTTATTTTCAATTACCATGGTTACCACTGTTAGGAATATCAAAGTAAGTCAAGTTCTGTAAGAAAAATAAATAATCTTATATTAAAAATGAAAAACCTCAACACAATGTTCTGAGTATATCTGCCAGGGGAGAATTGCATAGAACATCTAACATCTTACTTCACATTCTCCTAAAATGGTGTGTTATCCTAACTCATTCTTCAGTCACTTCCTTCATCACAGATCTCTCATTAAGATGGAACCAGGGGCGTAACTAGACCCGTTCTTCTGGGATATGAGCTCCAGTGAAATACTGCTGGTCTCCAGGAAAATTTTAGACCCACTGATAAATCTATCATGTGTCAGTGCTTGACATAATCCTTCAGCTATGAAGATGTGTGCCAGTTCATATATTAATCATGTTTTGATCAGTCTGACAAGAATGCAACAAGGGTTGTGTTTAAAATCACCCTCTTCAAGTTTAAATAGGGCACTATAAGAGAGGCGAGCCATTTATAGTTCAGTCTGAAACCATAGTGGGCATTATTGAGTGCACTCATTCATTAATTCCTATAAGGCACAGCCATATCGAGTTTACAAACAATGTGTGCTTTCAAATTAATTGATTTAACAATGTATCCATCCATTTTCCAAGCAGGTCTAAAGTAAGTGTGCATGGCACAGAGTTTTTCACAACAAAAGTTGCCCAATGGCCATTCCAACTAGCCTAATCTCTAAACTCAACTCAATAACTTGTCTTGGTAACACCTGCCTGACATATCTTGAAACTAAAACATTTTGATCACCGCCCTCTAGTGGCTGGTTGTACTGTATATGGCACAAACCCCACCCATTACATTTAAATAAATAAAACATGAGCCATACTAATAACTTTTAATGAAATTTTTAAAAAAAATTTCTTAGAGATGGTTTCTGATATTTTAGATAAAAAGTCTAGATTCCAGTTTTCTAGTAAATTATATTGCAGTCTGTACACTGTAAACCCTAATAAGTTGAGACTACTCAAGCGATTTGAGGAAAGTGATTACCTCAGTTCGTTTGAGTAATGGGGAATCCACAACTCAATTAATTGAGTTGACCAAATGTAGTCTCTTTATTGAGTTAATTTAAATGTTTAATTACAGATAACCTAAAATTGCTAATAGACTAAACTTCCAAATTTTTTCAGCTTTTATATTCTTTTCTTACTTATTCCCAAGGCTGTTTAAATCAACGTTGATATTTACCCGCACCATGTTGGTGTTTTGTAACATCGCATTTTTAGAAGGTGCGCTCAACCGCCAACCTCGAGGACCAGGACATACACATATGGACAATTTAGCTTACCTTTTCATCTATAGAGCATGTCTTTGGCCTTGTGGAGGAAACCAGAGCACCTGGAGGAAACCCACACGAACACTGGGAGTACAAACAAATTCCACACAAAAATGCCAACTGACTCGAACCAGCGACCTTTTTGCTGTTCGCTACCCACTGCGCCACCGTGTGGCCCCTGCATGTATATCACTTAAGAAAAACGTATATAAGCATTTAAATATCTAAATTAACTTTTCTCTTTCATCAGATGGGTTCAGGTAGTGCCTCTGTCCTGCTGCGCTTCAGCAAAATTCAGCATCACAAGCAAAATGACCACCTTGTGTCATATAACATATTAACCAATCAGTGCAATTGTCAAGGCAGAATTTCAAGCACAACCAATCATAACAAACACATGGTGAATTGTTTAAAGAAATTATAATGTTAAGTTCAGAGAACTTAAAATAATATATATTTTTTTGCTGCCTAATGAATAAGTTAAACACACCTGTATTTTAAGTAATGTCAAGTTAAATTAACTTAATACCTTAAGTAATACCAACAGCGGGGTTTACAGTGTAAATAGCAATGTGATTTTAAGAAGACTAAAAATTAAAAAAAATAGCACTTATCTCTGATGCACTGAAATGTTTGAGGTTGTTTCAAACATATTTTATAACACATGAAACAATAAATATCATGTTCATTTAATATTTCTTAAATATATATATATATATATATATATATATATATATATATATATATATATATATATATATATATATATATATATATATTTATATATATTTATATATATTTATATATTTAAATTTTAAATAAGCAGCTCTGCATTATTTGTGTATTCTCAACGATAAAGAAAATGTATTTCCTTTTATTTTAGACAGAGTATTAAAATATGGGCATGCTTATTTATTGTCAAGCAACAGTACTGGTTAAAGGCTAGAAATGTCCCTGGATTGAACTATAATTCATGCTATAATTACTTAACAATCTACAACAAGTAGAATAATATGTTAACATGTTTGCTTTCAACAAATGCAGCCTTTTTTATGGTTCTTGCAAACTTATTTATGCAATCATTTGTAATGAACTCAACATTTCGAGAACACTTGATCATGACTGTTCTTGTATTTTCTTTCTTTCTATTGGGGAGTAGTTCACTTCCTATTAAAGACCCTCTCGTGGACAGTGCTTCTCCAGTCTACCAGGCCGTGATCAAGCCTGATGATAAGGGCCTGGAGATGTCTGAATGGGCCCGTCGTGCCGCCAACCTGCAATCCAAATCCTTCCGCATCCTTGCTCATATCACAGGAACTGAATATTGTAAGTACAGGCATTACCTATTATAGCACTCTGTGAACTGGAAATAGGTCTGACTTGATATGATTCAGACATGATGATATTATTGTTTGTTTGATCAAATCAGTTTAGAAGATTTGGTGTATAAAGAGTAACTGGTGTTTTTTTTTTTTTCTCACAGTGCAAGATCCAGATGAGGAGGCTCTTAGAAAATCAAGGTAATCAACCACTTTGTTTCAGTTTTTGCTGTATTCACCCCGTTGAACACTGTAGCAATATATATAGCAATATATATATATATATATATATATATAAATATATATATATATATATATATATATATATATAATTTCTGAGAGTAAGCACGTCTGCGTTTAGAGTGGACTGGGGGCTCACAGGTTGACCATTATCTGTGCATGTGCCTGTCCACCAGTGATATACAGCCACATTGCACTGCTATGAGTGTGATATTGCATTTATACAACAGTTCGATGGCCTAATCATGTGTATAAAAAAATGAAAATCAAACACATAGACTCTAAAAATCTTTGGTATGGGGAACTACTTTCTTCCGCCATTCCTTCACATCTGCAGCTGAGGTCAGAACAGAAGAAGCAGAGTCATTACTAATTCACAAATGTCACTTTAGAGCTAGTATTTGAATAATTTTCTAGCGTAATATCTAAAGTGATGCCAAAACAGGTTACTTTGCTCACATATCAAGATTAAAAGGCTGAACAGCATGAAATGCCATCAGTTTACAGAGATTTCACAGTATTTCTCTGTAGCTATCGGAAGATCACAATAATTAACCCTCAAAAAAGTAACTCAGGGTTATACAAAGAGTCCCATGTCACACTTAACACTCTACAATTATTTGGTATATGTACAGCACTACAACATAGAAAAGAGAGAGATCGACTTAGAATATCACTTACCTGTTTTATAATGATTTGATCAGCTGTAGTTAGGAATTACGCTGTTTCTCTTCTAAGACCTTATTATGCGGTCTCTGTTGCCATCTTGTTGATGGACAACATCAACCGTCTTTGCTCAGCTCAAAGACAGGCTAATGGCCGCCAACTCTCAGAAATTGTAAATATTTAAATTAGGCACTACCCTTACAAATAAACTGCATAGTTACAATCTAAACAACTACTTTATTGACTAAAAAAAACCCCTGAAAACTACATTATGTTGTCCAACAGCTGCAATATTTGTCAAAATGTAGAGAGTCCTCTGCTTGTTGCTGTATGTGGGTGGAGTAATGCACAGGGGTAAAGAGTTAAGAGGCTTAACGAATGCTGTTATTTGCTGAATATTGCACGGCTATTAACCAATCAGATTCATAAACAAAACAGAACTGTTGTAGAAAATTAAATAAGATTTTATTTTTATGAGTGATTTAATATCTTTGTTAATACATCAAAATAAGTGCACTTTAAAGTACTTTAAAGCAAATGTTAAAGCATTAAATTAACATTTTGTTGTTTCCCAAACAAAAGAAATGAACTGAACTGAAATGTTTCATTCTTATGTGCCTACATATGTTTAAATTGCATAATGCCAAGATCTACATTAACCATACGCAAAAAAAAGTCATTTAGTGAGACCAAATGCTTAAAAGAAGTGTTTCAGACACTGTGAAAGACGAAATGATGCTGCAATATATATTATGAGAAAAGCAAAGTGCTTTTTTAACCTTTGATGCAGACAGATCTTTTGTAGTGGAACTCCAAACTATAAAATCAAAACCTTAAAAAGAGCATAATAGGAGCACTTGAATATTTGACACACGCTAGCTCTTTCATCGGCGGATTTGAAAAGGCAAAGTGTTGAATTTGTACAGTTTAAGAATGTAGGTGTATTAATTTATGAATATGTACCTTTCTGGTTTCATAGGGAGAAGTTTGAATCTGAAGTAAAAGGCCCAAGATTTGCCAAACTGAAAAACTGGCACCACGGCCTGTCTGCACAGATCCTAAACATCCAGGGGTAAAAATGTCACCCGATGTTGCTGGAAAAAAGTTGAGGCAGCATTCAACCAGGAATCAGGAAGTCGATGTAAAGTGAAGTGCAATGGGTCAATAGGACAGAGAGGAGTAGTCTAGTGACTGGAATGTGAGTTAGAGTTATTAACTAGCCTGTAGACGAGTACATAAAGCTCCTGTGTTCAATGTTCATATGTCTGTTTGTTTCATGTACAGTGCCTATAGAAAAATCATCATGCAGCTTTGAAATAATTACTTTATTCATCATACAACCTGACATCAAATCGCGTTCCAAATAACTCTTCCAGCCTTTGAAATATTTTGTAGCCTTCTCCTAACCTGTGCCTTTCTACAACTTTATCTTGAAGGTCTTTTGAAAGCAGGGTGTAATGCGAGTAAAGGGATAGATTTTCACACGGTGTGATGACTTTCTATAGGCATTGTAACTTTCAGCCACTGAAACATAGTGCATAGTGCTTAGTTGTCATTTTCTTTTTCATTTTATGTTTCTCTTTTGGCTGCTCTGTTTATTCTAAATTATTGCTGAGTAATGAATTGCCTGAATGAATTGCTAATGTAAAAAAAAAAAACTAACCCTTAGAGAAATGATAAAATATATGTACCACATCCACTTTAATACACTACAGCACATATTGAAACCAAATGTACTATTGTCAATGTGAATAAAACATTATTACTTTTAACCAAATAAACAACAGTGTTGCAAATATTATTGTCTTCCAGTTAGCCACAATCACTTGCGTTCCATTGTGGGAAAAAAATGTTTAGCAGAATGTTCAGTTCAACATTTTGTAAACAATATGAGTGAATGGGGTTTTTGAGTATGCAAAAATACAAAAATGATCATAGCCAGTTTGAAATGTTTTATAATTGTTTTTGAAGTCATAAAGGCCCGCCAGTGATCAGGCACACACACAGACACACAGACACACAGACACAGACACACACACACACACACACACACACACACACACACACACACACACACACACACACACACACACACACACACACACACAATAATGACTTCTGATGTCCCTGGCATTAATTTGAAAGAACTGTAGGCCATTCTTAATGGCTCGACATGACTATTTTGGGTGTGCTTAGCTCTCTGGAAGGTGTGATTACACTTGGCAGGCTTGCTTTGAATAAAACGAACTCTGCATTGATTTCTCTGTTAGTGCAGTTCATTTGATTAACTAAGAACTTAGTCCACTTCCACAAGAACTCTTGTAAAATGTAAATGCGACTTGACCACAGACATCTAAATGAATCAAAAGTGGTTCAATATTTGACAATGAAATGAACAGGAAGTTTTGTATGAGTAATGAAATTAAATAATACACAATTTATTTAATGACAACAATTCGCATTAAATTAGCATCTTACATAGGTTTTCTTAGTGATCATGTGACACTGAAGACAGTAATCACTATTACAATTATTCATTCATTCATTCCTTTACGGCTTAGTCCCTTTATTAGTCTGGGGTTGCTACAGCAGAACGAATCACCAACTTATCCAGCATATGTTTTACGCAGCGGATGCCCTTCCAGCTGCAACCCATCACTGGAAAGCATCCATACACTCCCATTCACATACATACATTACGAACAATTTAGCTTACCCAATTCACCCACACCACGTCTTTGGACTTGTGGGGAAAACTGGAGCAACTGGAGAAAACACGGGGAGAACATGCAAACTCCACACAGAAATGCCAGCTTACCCAGCCGAGGTTAGAACCAGCGACCTTCTTGCTGTGAGGTGATCGTGCTACCCACTGCACCATTGTGACCCATCACTATAAAATAAATATGACAAAAAATTCAGTTTTCCATCACATAAATAATTACATTGTAAACAAAAAAAAATCTAAATAGAAAATCATTGAATGTGAATTAATAACTGAATATTTGTTATAGAAATTAACCTAACCACTTATTTCATCAACATGATAAAAACATTAAAATATAAAATCATTGAATTTGATTGATATTCTAAAACTGGATATTTGTTATAGAAATTAACCTAACCGCTTATTTTATCAACATTATGAAAACATTTAAATAGAAAATCATTTAATATGATTTAATATTTTAAAACTGAATATTTGTTATAGAAATCAACCTGCTTATTTTATCAGCATTATAAAAACATTAAAATAGAAAATCTTTGAATATGAATTAATATTTATTCATTCATTTTCCTTTGGCTTAATACCTTTATTTATCAGGGGAATGAACTGGCAACTTAAACAGCATATGTTTTATGCTGCAGATGCAACCCAATACTGGGAAACACCCATACTCATACTCTTGGACTGTGGGTAAACCAGAGCACTCTAAGAAGATCCACACCAACCAGGAAAACATGCAAACTCCACACAGAAATGTCAACTTCCCCAGCCGGGACTCGAAACAGCGACCTTCTTGCTGTGAGGCAACAGGGCTAACCACTGAGACACCGTGTTGCTCTAACTGTGTTAACCTTTTTACTTATTTAAAAATGTAAAATAGTATAAAAATATTACCTGCTTCAACGAAAGTTTACTTTAAATTTCTCATATTTATCTAAATTCATACCTCATGGTGAGTCTGGCTATATTCACCAAGCCAATTTCTGCAACACCTCAACTGCCCTGTAGATGGTAATGTAATTAGGAGTGATGACGTTGTTCAATCTTACTTTCTGGTTATAAGTTCATAATTCTCCCCACGTGTTTTTGTTTATATTATCTTATTTATATTAAAATATACGCGCATTTAACACTTCGTTAATCTTGTGCTAGATTATATTCATTATTATACATTTAAATTGCAAACTGTGGCATATTAAACACTTCCACGTTTTGTCAACAGATGGCACCCGCAGTTCTGATTTTGGTAGGACCTCCTCCCATTCATCCATCTCCTCGCTCTCCGGCGCGTTTCTCTTGCTTGTTATTCGCCGCGCGCGTCCGCGAGTAAAACGCTCGCGCTCAGACGCGCGGCAGTGATTGGAGGACGAAAGCAGCGCGAGGTTGTGATTGGAGGACTGAATCAGGGCTCATCGCGTTACGCGCACGAGTGGAATGTTCCCTCACAGAGAGGCACAACTAGAGAAAAAAGAACGAAAGAAACAGGAGAAAACGTTCTCGAAAGAGAGAAAAATCACATAGAACCACACCAGGGAAACTCTTTATTATTCACGCTTTGAAGTAGATTTTCGTCACGTGCCATAAGCCCTGATTTGGAAGGCTTTGGACTGTTTTAGCAGCTTCATCAAATAGGTAAGTGGGAATTCCGGATATTTGCGTGATGATTTTCTTTCCGGTTGTGGAGGGAGAAAGTTTGTCTCTTGTCATGGTTTCGTTTTGCAAAATAATGGACGCTCTTAACGAACATAGTACTAAAATAATATCAGTTAAAGGTATTCAGAGTGTTGTACATCTGCGTCTGCGTGTTAATAATCAATTTTGTTTATGCCATATTATATTATCTTTTTCTACAACACCCATGTTCTCATTTAAGGCAAACCTCATTTATACTGTCTGTCTACGCTGCTTCGTGTTTCGTCTATTGTATTTGTTTGGTGTTGTATTTGTTTGTATGTTTGCTGTTGCTTTGATAGCATCTGTGTTTGGGTTTTGTTATCATGTCCCAACATGCATCGCGTAAAATCACGTTGACTACCTGCTTGTGTAGTTTGGATTGGCCTTTGTCAGAAGCTGAATAGAAAACAGTTTCTCCTTGATTAGAGGGTTTTGTTCTTTTTACATCAACTTTGCAGCATTTTAATTGTAATTGACAGGCTGCACACTGTTTTTTAACTGAATGTAAATGTTTAGATGCTGTCTGTTGGCATTTGCATGGTTTGTTTGTCCTGTGGTTGCTACAAAACCTCAAACATAATAAGAGAGAAAATAGTGGCTTTATTTCTGCTTGTTGGTATAGTCACGACTTCAGTAATGAACAAAATATGCTGTTCGTTACGATTATTGTATTAACAACAATACTGTTTTAATCATGCTATTACATTTGTCATTTATATGGCCACAGATGAATTTGATTTCTTATTTTTTTTAGTTTACATTAATTTGGTTATTTCTACATCTAAACACTGTTGTTGCTAAGACAAAAATGACATATCCATTGTTATTAATAACCCAATCAAGTCGAAAATTGCAGTCAAACTGATAATTTTATATCTGTTAAATTAAAACATAAGGATAAGGTAAAACTTTATTGTCCCAGTTATGTAAATTTGTCTTGGGCTATTGTCCTTAGCTGCAGTCATCACATACGTAAAAAGATAATACAAACATACAAAAAGCAAATGTGTATATAAAATTATAAATCTACAACCCCACCCCCAAAAAGTTACATACACACCTCCATATATAAACCCACAAATAGGCAAAAAATAAATACTATCAATCCAAGCCACCACTATTTAATAGCTTAATGCTCACTTGATAAATGAGTTTTTTTATCTATTTATTCTACAGCAAAGAACCTTTTCCTCATAGATGACAGCTCATTGTCAGCATGCAGAACATGTAAGAAGTCACATACAATTTATTTTTTAATTTCGCAATTATTCGTTAAATTAAGTTTATTTACATCATTAATATTACCATCATCTAGGGTTGTCGCGATACGATTAATTCATGTTACGATACTTTTCCAGCTGAAGTATCGTGATACCAAGTAGTATTGTGATACTGTAATTCATACCTCATATCTATGAAATAAAGAAAATAGTCTGAAATACTACCGTTTATGAATTAATGATTCTCTTATTATTGAAAAAAAGTATTTGCTTGTCACTTCACCTAAAATGTATTTGTTCTTTTTGTTTATTTTGTAGATAACTGACCATCAAAAAATACTTTAAAATAAAGATACAAATTATGCCAAATTCAATTAGTTAAAAAAAGAGCATTTTTCCAACCAAATTAGGCTTTATGAAGTGGTCTAAAATTGTTCCAATGTTTCCTGTATCTATTGTTCTTTTTAGTCTCATCAGGTAAGATTCCAAAGTAATTCAAAATTTCACTTTGCGAGTCGCTGTTTTTAAGAGATTGTCGCAGTTGTTGTAGCTACTGAATCATATTGACGAGCAGAATTAAACTGATTTAGATTCGAAACGAAGCGTCAGAAAATGAGCAATAGGCTACCATAAAAGGTCTGCATTCTACACAGTTTTGCAACTTTAAAGAGCTCCACAGATTATTCAAATAAAATGATCTGTTATTGCACAAACATATAAGCATTTAGTGACTTATCTATTGTAAATAGACATTTAATAATGATACTAGCTTTTACAGTGACACTACAGTGGCACAGCCAGTAATTTGGAGCCATACTATCACCATACTACCATAGTAATCCTACAGTAAACCCATAGTAAACAGTGCAACCATTATCATCATTACTTTAGGAACGACAATTACAGTACAGTAATATAACTTCTAATGCTGATTTTCTTTTGCTGATGTCTTGAATTTTAACATTTTGTTTTGGTTATGAGGACACGCGTCTGTACATGATACGACAATAGATTTTGCTTGGATGTTTGTTACCACAATTGAATCATCTTTGTGTGTGTGTGTGTGATATTATGGCATATTTTTGCTGTAAGATTTTCTTTCTTTTGAGTTCTTTGAGAGCAACTTTTAGAATAAGTGTAAATCTTTTTTTTTTTTTTTGGTCCCGTTGACCCT